TCTAATAAAATTAATCTATTTCCATACTTCATTTGCTATAAAATGAGTTCTCTGGTCAAAAGCAATGCTGTGTGGAATACATAATGGTGAACATAATATTTTATAAATTCATGGATAATGATTTCAGCAGAAATATTATGCTCAAGGAAGGAAAATCTATATCCAGAGTAATGTCTACCTTAGTGAGAATAAAACATTGCTCATTCCATGATGTGACATAGTAGAAAATTTGCCACCAGATGGCTGGCTGGTCCACCTAGAAAATAGTGCCAGGGTTTAGTGTTTGTCTTTACTGTTGATAGATTTAACATTCAACAGGGGTTGTAATCCTGTCAGTCTTGGTGAATAGAAGTCCATGTTGCCGAGTTCATGTATTATTCATCCTTGCTGCCATGACTCTATTTTCATCCTTGATTCTGCCATTACACTTGCTGTATGGACAGCGGTGGTTGAGAAAAAATGCTTCATCTTGGTCTCCTGTTTATTGGGCATAGTGGCCATTTGAAGAGGTCTGTCCACACACATACTCTTTCCCAGACCACCTTGTTACCAGTTTTCCAGTTGTGTTCTTTTTCAGTCCCTGACTATTCAGCCAAGCTGTTAGCTATCACCCATAAATTAGTATATATTTGTACCTTTGATCATGTCTCACTTCAGGTAAAATGACAGACAGGTTTATTACTTGAAGTTTTGCCTACTGGGAGGATTTGACTTCACTACTATCCTTCAGGGTCATCTTTGAGTGTTCCAGAGTGCTGCAACTGTCTACTTTCAAGTAGTGTCAGCATAACATACAGAACCATGTACATACGGAGCCCATTTTCCTCCATTAGCTAACTGATCTTTGAGAACTTTCTATGGTCCAGGATGTGGGTTAAGAGGGAGCAAGCAATGTAACAAGAATAGGGCCCATGAAAATCTGGACTACTCCTGTAACTTACTTGTGCCTTCAGGACTTGCCTGAACCCAGTTTTGTATATATACTTTCACTTGATGATAGAGTGCTGTTGTATATGTTTAACTATATGGGTTGGTGGATCAGACAATAACCATTTTACAGTGGGCAACTCATGTTAAATTGGTGGCATGCATGCATTATTTGCTGAGGACTAGTAGCAAATCAGGTCTAAAGCTGATTTTCAAGAGGAGAATAGTTATTTGTAGAGGATGGCTTGCTTTGTTCCAAAATCCTAAAAGTTTATACTGTGATGCACCTATAAGGACCTGCCAAACTTGACTTGCTTGAACTTGAGCAGTCAGAGTGCTATCTTAGTAGAGAACTAAGTAGAACATATGAAGTCATCGGGAATGGAGAGTTGATCAAGATCTCTACAGACTAGATTATGACAGAGGGATAGAGTTGATGTAGCTCTGAGGTAGGGCAGTGAAGGTATGTTGCTGGCCTTGCCAGTCGAAAGAAACTGTTTTGGTTGGTTTTACCAAAAGGATAAAGAAATAGCTTCATTCTAATTGCCAGGAAATATACTGATATGCTTCAACAATGAAACTATATCTTTACAGCTAAATTGGAATCACATGTGATTATACTTGCAGAACTTTACTGTCATTCTCTAAGATCCATGCATATTCTGCACAAGCCAGATAGGTGAGCTGAATGCTGATGTGATTGGAATAGCCACCCCTGTATCACTAATCTCTGCAGTCTCTCAAGGAATGTGGCAGTCTTTTCTTGTTTTTTTTTTTTTTTTTTTTATTCTCACTTGGGATATTTTTCCATTTATCTTCAGTCAGAGTGGGAGGGAGGAGAGAGAGAAAGAGAAAGAGACCATTGATGTGAAAAAGACACATCAACTGGTTGCCTCCTGCACGACCCCAACCAGGGCTGGGGACTGAACTGCAACTGAGGTACGTGCCCTTGAACGGAATCAAACTCATGAGTTTTTGGTCCATGGGCCAACGCTCTAACTGCTGAGCCAAACCGGCCAGGGTATGGCATTACTTTGATTTACTAGGTAAGAGTTCTAGTGACTTCCACTTGCTTTTTATCCTTTGTAAGTCCCTCTCTCCATAGGTCAGGTAACCAATATGAACATGGTGTCACTTTCTGCGTTTGTCTTTCTAACTATGCATATCAAACTGGAGAAATACCTGTGAGGTAGAGACCTTAGCCAAAACTCAGTTAATCATCTGATCTCTATACACTCTACCCTAACTAGGAGACTGAAGTAGATAAGACAATGCTTAAGAAGGTGAGGTAGATAGAATTACTTCATTCATTGCAACTTATTATTTCTATTGTGGAGCTATAGGTTACTGAGGTAGTAACACCAGCTTGAACAGTAGTGGTTTATTTGAGTCATGTAAAAATACTTAGTTTTCGAGACTGTCTAAAGGAAAACATTTAAATAGAGTACTTGGAATCTTTTCTTATACCCCGCTCTCTCCTGTGGGCTACTAATTCAAAGAAAAGATTTCCAGGGTATATCCAGGGTTGAAATGTACTTTAAAGTGAGAAAAATTGAAACAGGCAGAAAGATTTGAAAGTATAGGCTGGTATCCATGTCAGAGAGATACACACATGTAGGGAGAGGGACCAATAAACTCAGAAGATTTTCAGTTGGTGTTACTGAAATAAAGTGTTCTGAAGCATTCTTTTGCTTATTTGGACTTTGACTTTTTAAAAAAAATTTAATTTAATTTAATTTTTAAAATTCTCACCTGCAGATATTTTTCCTTGGATTTTTTAGACATAGACAGGGGTGGGGGATTGGGGGGAGGGAGATAGATGAGAAAGAGAGAGAGAGAGAGAGAGAGAGAGAGAGAGAGAGAGAGAGAGAGAAACATCGACGTGAGAGAGATACATTGATTGGTTGCCTCCCACATGGGATTGAATCCGCCACTGAGGTACTTGCTCTTGACTGGGAATAGAACCTGTGACTCTCTGGTCTGCAGGTCAGCGCTCCAGCTGCTGAGCCAAACCAGCCAGGGTTGGACTTTGACTTTTGAAGAGCCATTTATGACCACTATTTAAAATTTTTTTTAGACTTTACTCTGATAGGATAGCTTTAATAGTTTATTGTTTTTTGGGGGGCATAATGCAATGATTAGAATGTTATTGGATTAAATTAAATGACTCGATAAGGTCCTGGGTCCTCAGTGACCCTTTCTTTTTATTTATAAGCATTTTGTCATGTTAAGGAACCAGTAAGTATATCTTTTTATAATGGATATGGGTGGGACATAAAACATACTTTGTATTTCAACTGAATGTTATTATATAAACATTTTCAGGCAAAGAAACAAATCTTTATTTCATATAGAATGTAAGAAGGTGTATGGGTCGGTAAGGAGAGGGCATTTTGTTTCTTACCCCTCAACACTCATATTGAGATGATTTTATTCTTCTGAATTTCTAAGAGGAAGTTTTCTTTCTTATTGTAAAAGCTAGCAAATTTCCTTAGTGTCCTTGAATGATTTATTCATGGCCTACTTGTGTAGTAGCAAAAGAAAAGAATTATATATTACATATTTTATCTTGTGCAAGAGGGCGATTTTAAATATATATATATTTGTTAAGACCTTTAATAAAATTTTTAATGAGTTGTCTTTCCAACTCATAGTTTTCTCCATTATTATGGCTTAGAGCAGCATCTTTTTCCTCCTGGCTGGAATATGTGTTGTTTCCATATTTCTTTTGTTTTTTAAGTTAAATATTCTTCTGTTTAGGAAAATCTGAGATGTACCCATACTTACGATAGTATTTAAAGTATACTTTGATGAATATAATACATTTATTAACAAGATCTTGTCTAAGATTAAAACACTAAATATCATCAGGACTGAGATGAATAAAGTTGGTCTATCATTAACCAAACAGCTCCCCCCTTTTTTCTTTCTTTTCATTATTACTGCCTTCTTTCCTATTCCCCCTAAGTATTAGCAATTGAATACTTGAAGAATGGATGAATGATTTTATATAATTTTTTGTTTATTATCTCTTCTCTTCTTTTTATACCCTATGTTCTGTGAACACAGAGACTACCCCAACCTTGTTCACTTCCACGCTCCTACTGTTTAGGATTATTATGTGGTAAACTAGCTGATAGAGTGAATCAATGAATAATAAAATATATACCATGAGGCTTCTTTTAAAAATTATGTGTTGAAAATGTATTTCATGTCTATTGAAATATTTAGATTGTAAATTATGAGGAGAAATTATAATAGGAAAAGAAAAATATTTTTATTAAGAATGTTTTTAGATTTGTTACTTGTTTTTTAACAAAGAGCAGTACAATAAACAATCAATTTAAAGTGGTCTTTGAAACTAAACTTTTGATTATTTTGGATTAATTATTTTGAACTACATTTTACCATGTGACCTTGATTAGCTCAACTAACTTATGGCCTAACAAAATTAAAATAGTTTGAGGGCATAATATGGAAATGCTCATATTTTTACAAGGAGTATCAGTTTTAAGCATTTTAATTGAAACATGATGTGGGCCTATGTTGATAATAACATTTTCATTATTTATTTCAAATTGTAACTTGAGAATTTTAAGGATTGAAGAATATTTCCAAGCATAACAGAAAATTATGTGTCCTTGGGTTCAGAAATTATTATTTAAGCAAAATAGGCCTGACTGATCAGAAACACAAAGACCAAAGTAATTGTACTTAACTCCCCAAAACAATTTTAGTATAGACTGTTTATTTAATTGTTAGATAGCAGGTGTGTACAAACCCTTTAATTACTTAGGGGCTAGGGAAATAAAAGAGTTCACTACTGACTACAGGGTGGGCCTTGTAAGGTACGAAGTAGCCATAAATTAGAACTTGACATACTTGAACTTAATTTGACTTGTTTAGAAACACTATTCATATTTGGCTATACAACAGTGTACTTTGGAGAATGCTTCTACACAATGTTTCATAATGTCTTTTCAGCTCTAATTGTAGTATTTCTGTTACTGTTTGCTTAGCTTTTGTCTCCTTGTGACTTTAAGGACATACTTTCATCCTATATTTTTCTCTAGGCATTCACAAGGACAAAGCTAAACCTCCCAGCTTCTCTGTTGTCCTTGAGACTTTGAGGCGTACCTTGACAGATTACCAGAACAAGCTGGAAGATGCATCTAATGAGGTAACACTTGCACTGTTTGGCTCCACACATATAGCCTTCGGCCTGCAGCAGTACGTATCCCTTGCTTGTTACAAAGGTCAGAAAAAAAAAATTAGGAATATTGAATTGGCAGCTTCACAGATACAAAAAATAATAAATTGTCTGTCACTGTTCTTTAAATGTGGCCTAAAGTTGTGTCTCACTTATGTTTTTGTAACTTAGGTCACACTATTATTTTTAAGTTATAAAGACTGTCACTCTTGGACTCCAGAATCTATTTATTTTAATTTAATATAAAAGCTATGCAAGTCATTTAAGTTAATATGTGTTATTATTAAATTTTAATGTGTTTTTATGAAATTTGCAATAGGTAGTGGAAATTTAGGTATTTTGTCAATACTTTAGCTTAAGATTTCTACAAATTGGGAGGTCTGAATGAAAAAGAGATGAGTTAGTTTTCATTCTCTAACTGCATAAAGTATTGATAGAAGTTTTTAAAAACAGTTGTCTGTTTGATGTAGCCTGGACGTTTTTAGTTTGCTGATTGAAAAAGCTCATGCTTCTATTTATCATCTCTTTGTATTATTTAATGTATGAGTTAATAATTTTCTTGGGTATTAAAATATTTAATGAATTTGTGCTTTAAAAATGGAAGAGTTTGCTTAGTTACAATTTGTCAAATTAGAGAATATAAAGTAATTACATTAAATATAATTAGTTAGCAAAACAATAAACATTGTGTGAACCACAAACAAGCATGGAATTTAGTGTTCATCCTTCTGTTTATCTGTTTCATTCATATAATACAAAGGCTATGAAACTATTACAGTTCACATTTCAAAAGGGGCTTATTTTACTTTAGTTTAATAAGGTGAATAAAGAAGGAAAAGTGAGTCTTCTTAAGACCCTCAATAATTGTTCAAAAGGCATCAAAGAGAGTGACCACTGAAATAATTAAATTTCTATAAAGAATAAATATTAAGTCTTTCTCAGTGAGACAAGACAACTTGTATTGTTAGTAGTTTACGAAGCTCTTCTGAGGCCTCGGACTGGAAGCTGCAGGGTAACTAGGAACATATTACCCACAGCGAATTGTTATTTGGGAGGATGAATGTCACATGATCCTCAGCACAGTTGAAAAGTCGACTCAGCAGGCTTTGGCTTAGTAATGTGCTTTGTTGTGAACCAGTGCCAGAGACAGCAGTGGGGAGACCAAGGGGGTGACTGCAAAGAAAGCAGAAAGAGCAGTCTGACAGAAAGAAGAATGAACTGTCAAAGAAAATAAATCACAAGCGGAGCAGGACCAACTGATGACCTGCCACAAGCCTTCCCAGTAGGACTGCATGTGACCGACCCTGAAGTTGTCATATGGAGTGAGAGACCAGTGAATACCCTCATGATGTATGGAAAGAACAGTCTTCTGCTCTGTCCTCCTTTCTTTCCCTATAGATGCCCCTGCTTCTGGCATTTTGGTCCAGTAGGATTTTAAGAATAAAGTTATATTTGTTTATAGTAAGAATGAAATCCTTTGTCCAGACATCTAGTAAAAACACAGCAACATCACTGACATTTCAAGCTTGAATGCTTTCTTTTCCTTTTAGCCATGTGTGCTTGTGACAGAAACTACGTAGTTAACCAAAAGAAATAATTTTTAAGACTCTTAATTACTATTCAAATATTTATATTAAATAATTGCATAGAAACATTTAAGGATTAGCTTTTGAGTTACCTATCCTTGAGAATATAAAGAAGTTACTTGCATTTTCTTTTATCAGTTAAACAGCATGAATGATGCTAAGGAAAAGGCATCTAATGAACTTGATTCTACCAAACAGAAGATAGAATCTCACACTAAAAATATAAAGGTATTATGATTTTAAATAACCTTTTCTTTTTGTATTAAGAAACAAATATAATTATTTAGGGACACTTTTTAAGTAAGCGATATCTGAAAATATAGCTTCCTATTTCTTATTAAGTACATTTGGATATAATTTTAATTTTTTATTATTGATCAAAGTAACAAGAATGTTTTTTTCATTAAAAATAAAACTTGATTAGAAATTGTTCTAGTTAATTGAAAAAATTTATTTTCCCAGACTTAATTATAATACCATAGATTCAAAAATTGATTTAAGATTAAATGTCCATGCATAGAAACATAGTAAACATTTTACATACGCACATCAGTATTTGGAGTTAGTTTTCATCATTTTAGGGTGGAGATACTGTTTTTAGTATGTCATGCCTTCTAATGGGCTGAGACCACACCTGGCTCAAGTTCAGGAAAACAGTTTATTTTATTTTCTGTGCTGCTTTTATGTACTACATTTTTGCAAACTATACTGAAGCGACTCTCAGAGTTGCGTAGTATTGATGGATTTTTTTTGTGTTGGTTCAGATTGCGTTTGTCCTCGATGTACTTCATAGAATTTAGGACTAAGGACTAAATAGTTCACCAGGATTTTATGCCACATATTTTAGATTTGTATTAGTACTTGGAATTTCATGGAGAAGGAAATGTTCTTATATTAAATGTAAGAGATATATTCTTAAAATGTTATTTAAAAATTTTTTTAGCTACCAAGTTAATTTTTTAATAATGGATTGAAAGAAAAGAGCTTTTGGAATAAGCTATCTTCTTAACACTTTATGTTTAAATGCTAAAACAACAAATTTTCTAATTTTGCAGCTAAAATATTGTACTTAATAAATTCAATAAAATATCTTAATGTTTAGCATTATAATAGAATATTTGCCTTTGTGATTTATTTGCGTTAAAGCTTTGGAATTCTTCATTACGTATTTTATATTGTGTCTCCTACCCCTGTATTGGCCGGCATCGTATGACCTCTATTTTTGGTGTTTCCTTTAGGAACTTCAGGACAAACTGGCTAATGCCAGTAAAGAGTTAAGTCATTTACGCACTAAGTGTGCAGATAGAGAGGCTCTAATCGGCACTTTGAAAGTGGAACTACAGAATGTGCTGCACTGTTGGGAGAAAGAAAAGGCACAAGCAACCCATTCTGAATGTGAACTGCAGAAGCTTTCCCAGGCTTTCCATAAGGATACCGAGGTATTACCTGAGACAAGATGACTGCCAGGAAAGGCCTTTCATTAATCTCAGCTTTATAAATTTACATACATCGACTGGCGGTTTTTACTCTTATTTGGTTTAATTAAAAAAATTCTTTTGAGCTAACTGTTTCGAAATATGCATGCCAGCTGCAGAACCAGTCACTCTGTTACTCTTGTGTCATACTGTTTTGTGGGAGAAGTAATGTAGATTAACCCTTCTCTCACTTGTATGATGACTTTCTCTGTTTAGAACACTGTATCTCAAGCAACTATGTTCCTAACAGTCCTTTCAAGGTTGGCCTGATTGCCAGTGACAAAATTATTATTATCTTTTAATTTCAGTAGTTCAGTAGCTAGGCATGATGGAAAGAATATGTTGTTTTTTTTTAATCAGAAAGAACTGGACTTGGGTCCTGGTACTTCTGTTTACAAACTGAATATGGACAAGTCACACAACTATCTGTTCACATCTGAGTTTCCTTATTTGCAAAACAGGAATAATATTTACTTTAATAGACAGTCTCCTTACTCTTTATAGCAAAATTTAGAAAAATACAAATCCCACAAAATTAAAATTTTATTCGAATGTCCTAGATTGTGGCCTATTTATTTTAATTTAATAATCAATTCTTAAAGTGTGATGACAAAACTTTCATATTTTGTATGAGCTATGTGAATGGAATTATCTTATATTTTCTTTTACTTATGGGATATAGAACTAGTCTGGCTAGTGTGAAACTGGTTTATCTGAATCGTCCTGCATATTGAGTTCATTACTCCAACAAATATGAACATGCATGCCAAGAGAGTAAAAAGGAAACATTCTTTCCCCTCTTCTTGCAGTCTGGGATTTAAATTGTGTCCACATGAAGGGACTGGAATTGTTCTACACATCAGATAATGATTAAAGTAAAGGAAACTAGAAGCCTGACTATATTGTAAAGTCAGCATGTCTACAACAATGTGGTTGGGTTCAACATGTGTGAATTGATTTTGGATCTTGAGATTCTCCTTTCACGCCAAATGGATGATTATTATGCATGGTTTATCACAGCCCAAGCAAAAAGGACATAATGGCGACACAACAAATTATCCTTGAGGACAAACTCAGTGGCAAAATGTGCAGGGGGAAGGTTTTAAGTGCCTGAACATTACATTTCCTTAAACATCTCAACCCTATTGAAAATGCAAACGACATCTTTAATTGCTTAAAAAAGAAAAAGGCATGGCCTATTTATGAAGACTCTCCTGATATCCTAACTCAAGTTTATGATTTTAATTACATATTAAACTTTTTTTGTTTTTAAATTGTTATATTTAGAAAAAAATAAGGTGGCATATAGGGAGAATTAAGACACAATTTGCTATATATGAGAAAAATTTCTCCACAAATTATAATTACAAACCTTTCCATATGCTACAGTCAGTTTTTCTAATTAGAAGATTAGGATTTCTGTTTTATTTTTCCTTTAAAAATTTTTATTTTTCTGTTGATATATTTAAAAATCTGTAGAGAACTTATTATATCTACATAAAATATTCATTTTGCAGCTTCACCTTTCCCTTGTCTTGAGTTCCATTCTTTGGGACTGTATAGATGAAACACCTTATAAGACAGCATTTGGCATTTACTAAGTAAACTCTCTTCATGTATTCAAGATGAGTTTGGCTTTTTACTGAATTCTATAGTGGAATATTTCTAGGTCATTAAACAATGGATAGTTTAGTTATTGCAACGGCAATATAATTTCAAAGAACTTTTTTTGCATATTTCTAATTGGACGGTTTTGGAAGTATGTTTTGGGCAGCTATGTCCCTTTTTTTTTTTAACTGTAACTTTGTAATGTTTATACATCTACAAATGCCCCTTGTGCCAAACGCTATATGAACTTATAAGTGGGGAAAATAAATGAGCCTGTCTTCCATATCTTTCATATCACTGTCTGCTTTGCCTAAGGCGCTGGGGATAGATTTCCTGTAAGTGGTAAGAAGCTGGAATCTCCGGAGGAGGACGGAAGCTGAGTAATTGTGTACCTGTAGAGTAAAGATATTGGTGTAACTTTCTCTTTGACAGAGTTGAGTAACACTCTTTTCTGTATAATGGTTTTTTGACTTAAAATAACGTCTGTTTTAGCCAATGTAAATATGGAATTATAGAATTACCATACAGACTTTCAGTTAGAAGAGCTTAGAGACAATTTGCTCAGGTGCCTCATGTTACCGCCGAGGAAGCTGAGGCCTGAACATGCACTTACGAAGACCACATCCTCAGTAGCAGCAGAGCCGGGCTCAGAACCCTGGTCTTCCTGGCTTCTGTTCAGATTTTGGTTTTGAATACTAAGTGTAAGCCATTCCCAGTTCCTAGCTGATGCTTAGTTATTCTGAGACTTGAATGTTTGAATTCCTTTCCAGATTTTTGAAATAAATTCTTTACCATGTGTATATGTGTTTTACTTCTTACAATGTTTACATACTGGAATTAATTTTCTTTTTCTCTCTCTCACAGGAGAAGCTAACCTTCCTTCATACCTTGTATCAGCACTTGATAGCAGGCTGTGTGCTCATAAAACAACCAGAAGGCATGCTGGATAAATTCTCTTGGTCTGAGCTTTGTGCAGTCTTGCAGGAGAATGTTGATGCCCTGATCGCAGACCTCAACAGGGCTAATGAGAAGGTAACTGTCCTCAGGCACCAGACACCTCTATTAAATTCAGTGACATTTGTCCACATCACAGTATCATTAAGAGGGACTGACATTCATCTTATTTCAAAAAGAATTTGGATGTTAATAATTCAATACCATTAATTATGGCTTGTCTACAACTCAGTTTGATGCCATTGCTGTGGGCATGTAAATGTGACTGAAGTCTGTATGAAGTCTCTAAGCTCCACTTTCTGTGCAGGACATGCTAATACTACTAGCCAGTATTAGCCACAGGGACCTAATTAAAAGAAAATAAATTAATCTTACTGATGAAGCAATTCAAAGAACTTAGCCATTTACATTAATAAACCAACTCTTTATGTTAGCATAAAATAGAAACAAGATACAGTTATTCAAAAACATGATCTTAAAATTCTTTACTTAGGAAATAATGAGGTGTTACTTTAAAAGCAGTTGAAATTTTTAAATTATGTTTATGACATTTCTTGAAATATAACAAACTGTGTATTACTAAACCCATTCACTGCTTTAGATGGTAAGAAGTATATGTTGTAGGAGAAAATGGTAGACTTTTATAGTCACTTTATCATTCACAAGCTTAGAAATTCAGTCTTTCAAAAAAAATTTTTTGGTTGTAGAAAATCAAAATGGCTTAGCAGACCAACCTATGTCACCATTATAGATACTGATTCGTATCCTGGGTCTCTCGAGCTGGTCAGACTATGTTTATGTAGTCTAGTTTCAAGATCTTAGTTGCAATGACATTTGCTCTTAAGAGACATGAAAAGAAAAACTGTTGCCCAAAGTTTATTTTTAATCTTGGCTCAATTTTAGGGTGAGAGAGAGCATTTTACCTTAGTCTATTTGGCAAATGCTGCCATAGGTACTGAGAAGAAGTGGGACTGAGGAAATGAGGGAATAAATTGTGAGGCACAGATGCTGTTCGTGACTGTGAGTGTGTGTATCATGGGTTTGAAAAGCACTGATAATTAAAATGAGCTCATGTTTTAACCCTCTGAGATGGTGTTATGTTTTAGTAGATTTTTATAGTTTCAAAACATCATTAATTTTTATACATGTTAGATGATGAGGATTTTCTTTTCAGTGTTTTGAATGTGAAATAAAAAATGGTTAGAAAATGTTGCTTTATTATATATAAAATGTTTGTAGATTTGTAAATCTTATTTAAATGCTTTTTTTTTTTTTCCATTGAGATATCTGAATAGCTTGAGCTTTGGATCTAGAAGAAAGAATATTTGTCTCAGTTTTTTTTTCGGTAAAATGGGTCTTAGAATGAGTAACTTTCTTAGAAAGAGAAGAATAAAAGATGCGTCATCTAAGCATACAAATGATACCATTTTCTGCTAAGACATGATAATTTGTCCTACTGATTCCTGTTTCATCAGTTCTCTAGTTTCATTTCAACATAGATTATTTATATAATCTTAAGGAATACAGTATATTAGAAAATTGTGGATGTTTTTTAGAGAAGGTGATATGTCAACATAGCTTATACTTTGTTGCATTTCCCCATTTAGATAAGTCATCTAGAGTATATCTGTAAAAACAAGTCTGATACGATGAGAGAGCTTCAGCAGACCCAGGAGGACACCTTCAACAAAGTGGCAGAGCAGATCAAAGCCCAGGAGAGCTGCTGGCACAAACAGAAGAAGGAGCTGGAGCTGCAGTACTCAGAGCTCCTCCTGGAGGTGCAGAAGAGGGCACAGGTATGCTACTCCCACAACGAGCTTTAAAAAATGGATGCTCCTTCTTTATTTCAGAGTACCGTTGTCAAGTCAGTTAAAACTTCTTGATTACCACATAGAACTTGTTAGGGACAGGTGATACATGTGATCACACACATACACACACACACACACACACACACATACTCTTACACATAATGGATATGTGTTGTGTGTGTGTAAGTATTAAGGATTGTCTTTCGCTTAAGTTTGGAAGTAGATGGGTTTCTGGTTAAAATATCTCAGAATGCATTGATCAATTGAATGCTAAAATTGTATTTCCTTTTTATTAAAAATATTTTTTTAATTGATTGTTAGAGAGGGAGGGAGAGGGAGAGAGAGATAGAAACATCGATGAGAGAGAACATCAATTGGCCACCTCTGCATGCCCCTACTGGAGATCAAGCTCACAACCTGGGCATGTGTCCTGACCGGGAATTGAACTGGTGACCTCTCAATGCATGGGTTGATGCTCAACCACTGAGCCACACCAGCAGGGCTGTATTTCCTTTTTAAAATAAAACATTAAGAGGTTTGGTAAAATATTGTCAGTTTTAGTATAGGTTTTTTTTAATCCAGTTTATTCCACTTCTAGAGGTTCCTATATAAACCATCATTTTGATTCTTTTGGAGTTAAAATTTGTTATTTTTCCTAACATTGTATACGAAATAGAGTTATGGTTATAGACCCTGTAGCAAACTAATTGAGTGTGAGATGTATTATGTCTTCTGTGTTGGATTCCATTGAGAACAGAAGTTATGGGTAGTTAATGTAACCATGTTTTTTCCTATACAGATTTTTTTTGTCAACATAATTTATAATTGTTAAGTGTCATTCCTGCCCAATCAGGAATAACATATGATTTCTTTCATATTGAATTTAATAATAGGTCCCTTGTTCTCAAGATAGGAGACTTAGGAATCAGAAGGTTGTATATTCGTCATACGCTTGATTCAGTATTTAACCTCTTATTTGGTACACTCATGTGTATATCAGCTAGTATAATTTAATAAAAAGAATATATATGTTTGTTTTCTAGTAAACAGTTTTGGATTCCTTAAAATAAGATCTTTCTGTTTTTCCAAACCTAAGGGCCTTATGCGAACTTACGCTTTTTTCTATGAATTTGAATGAATTAGTACACTGTATTAAAGTAGCCATTTGTTCACTCTATGAAGAGTGCCTTGTGATATGCCCCGCCTTTTCTATTACTGAAATAAAAGACCTAAATAATCAATTTTTTTAGAAGTAGCATTGACATACAGTGAAGTGAACAGCTCTTATATGTACAATTTGATGTTTTGATTAATGCAGACACCCATGTTACCATGACCACTTGAAACTTAAAAATATTTTTATTACCCTGGAAAATTCTCATGTCCACTTTCCATTCAGTTTCCACTCCCCATAGGCAATCATTGTTCTGTTGGGTATCAGCACAGATAACTTTTATTACCGGTTCTTGAATTTCCTCTCAAAAGAGACATTCAGTAGATAGTCTTTGCTGGTTTGCTTATTTCACTCAACATAATGTTTTTGATATTCATCTGTGTTGTTGGGTGTATCATTAGTTCATTCTTTTCATATTCGAGTAGTATTCCATTTTATAATTGCACTACAATTTGATAGATTGTGAATTGATGGACATTCATTTGGCTTGTTTCCAGTTTTGGGTTAGTGTAAATAAAATCGGCTACAAATGGTATTGTATAAGTGTTAGTTGATATATGTTCTGATTTTTCTTGGTTAAAAGTATAATTTATAGGTCATAGGATGTGTATATTTACAAAAATATGTCAACTTGCTATGTGTATATTTACAAATACAAGAAATATAAATACAATCATTTTCCAGAATGATTGTATTTATATTTCCACCATCAGTGTATGAGTTTCCATTGTTTTACATCCTCTGCAACATTTGAGTATTTAAATATTGTCAGTATTTAAAATTTTAGCCATTCTAGTTTTTTAAAAAAATGTGTCTTTATTGTTGCAAGTATTACAGATATCCCCCCATTTTCCTCCCATTGATCTCCTCCACCCCACTCCTGTCCCCCTCAGGCCTTTACCACACTGTTGTCTATGTCCATGGGTTATGCATATATGCATGTAAGTTCTCTGGTCTAATTCACATTTTCTTGATGATTAATGATGTTTTGCATTTTCATGTACTTAAATGGCTATTCATAGATCCTATTTTATGAAATGTCTCTTAAAGTATCTGCCTATTTAAAAATGTGGGTTGTCTGTGTTTTTATTATTAATTTGTAAGAGTTCTTTATATATTCTAGATACAAATCATTTTTCATAGATATATATCACATATTTTCTTTCAATTACTCACTTGTTATTTTTCAGTGTTTCTTTTGATGATCATAAGTTTTAAAATATTGATGAAGTCTAACTTAGAAATCTTTTTCTCTTTTGGGTTATTTATTTTTATGTGCTATGTAATCTTTTTATATCCCAAGGTGTGAAGAAAATCTGTTGTTTTTTCTAGAAGTTTTATAGTCTTAGCTTTTATGTTTAGGTCTCTGATCCATCTCAAATTAATTTTTGTGTGTGATGTTCGGTAGAGGCCTAAGCCTTTCCCCCCAACCCCTGCATTTACTGTTCCCACACCATTTGTTCGAGACTTTCCTTTCCTCCCTACCTTTATGAAAAAACAATTGACCATACTGTATATGGGAACCACAGGTTTGTTGTCCATTTCTACAGTTTTTCCTTTTCCAGAATGTCATATAAATGGAATCATACAGCATGTAGCCATTTGGGTCTGACTTTTTTCACTTAGAAAAATGTATTTGAGATTCATTAATGTTGTGTTTACTAGTAGTTTGCTCTCTCTTTTTTTTTTTTTTTTTTTGATATGTGCCCCTAGCAGGAACCGAACCTTGGATTCTCTGGTCCGCAGGCCGATTCTCCAACCACTGAGCCAAACCACCCAGGGCTAGTTTGCTATTTTTTACTGCTGAGTGATATTTCATTGTATGGATGGATATACCAATATTTATCCAGATTCTTGCTCATGGGCCTTTAGGTTTTAATTTTATAAAAATTTTTTTTTTCTTTATTGATTTTTAGAGAGAAAGGAAGGGAAAGGTAGAGAGAGAGACAGAAATATCAATGAGAGAGAACATTGATTGGCTGCCTCCTGCTATATCCCCCACTGGGGATTTGGCCCACAACCTGGACATGTGCCCTGATCAGGAATGGAACTAGTGACCTCTGGGTGCGTGGGTAAATGCTTAACCACTGAGCCACACCACTGGGCTTTAGGTTTTTATTTTTTAAATATGCTTTTATTGATTTTAGAAAGACAGGAAAGGAGAGGGAGAGAAACATCAATGAGAGAAGCATCAATTGGCTGCCTCCTGCATGCCCCTTACTGGAGATTAAGCCCACAACCTAGGCATGTGCCCTGACGGGTAATTGAACCTGGAATCTGGGATGGTGCTCAACTAACTGAGCTACACTGGCCAGGGCCTTTAGTTATGTATTTTTTATTTTTTATTTTTGGCAATTATGACTAAAGATGTTTTAAACATTCATGGATAGATTTTTTTGTGTGATCCTAAGTTTTCATTTCTCTTGGATAAATACTTGGGGTCTGATTTCTGGGTTATATGGTAAATGTTTATTTAACTTTATAAGAAACAATTATTAAATTGTTTTCTGAAGTGGCTGTACCAGTTTGCATTCTCATAAGCAATGTGAACGAGTTCTAGTTGCTCTGCATCTGTGTCAGCATGTGGTTTCATTATTTCCCTTTTTCTTTTAACCAAATAGATGTGTAGTCGTATGTCATTGTGGTTTTAATTTACATTTTCCCTAATGAATAATAATGTTGAACAATTTTCATGTGCTTACTTCAACTGTATATCTTCTTTAGTGAATTATCTATTCATATATTTTACTCTTTTTTTCTTTTTTCTTTTTTTTTTATCCTCACCCGAGGATATTTTTCCGTTTTTTGTACAGATAGAGTGGGAGGGAGAGAGAGGAAGGGAGAGAGAGAGAGAAACATCGACGTGAAGGGACACATCGAGTGGCTGCCACCCGCACGACCAACCAGGGCCGGGGACAAACTGCAACCGAAGTACGTGCCCTTAGCGGGAACCGAACCCGGGTCTTTCCGGACCACAGGCCGACGCTCTAACTGCTGAGCCAAACTGGCCAGGGCTACTCTTTTTTTCTTAATTGTTGACAGTATTACAAATGTCTCCCATTTTCTCCCTTTTTGTCCCCCAACCCCTGCCCTACGTTAGACCTTCTCCATACTGTTGTCTGTGTCCACGAAATATACATATATACATATATGTTTTTTGGTTAATCTCTTCCCAGCCCCCTTCCCCCACCCTCCCCACTAAATTCGGTTATTCTGTTCCCATGCATTCATACCTCTGGACCTATTTTGTTCGTCAGTTTGTTTTGTTCATTAGATACCACATATAAGTGAGATCATGTGATAGTTGTCTTTCTCTAACTGGCTTATTTTGCTTAGCATAACAGTCTCCAGGTCCATCCATGCTGTCTCAAAGGGTAAGAGTTTCTTCTTCTTTTACAGCCGCATAGTACTCCATTGTGTATATGTTCTACAGCTTTTTTATCCATTCGTCTACTGATGGGCACTTGGGCTGTTTCCAGATCTTAGCAATTGTAAATAGTGCTGCTATGAACGTAGAGGTACATATATTCTTCCTGATTGGTGTTTCCAGATTCTTAGGATATATTCTAGAAGTGGGGTTACTGGGTTAAAAGGCAGTACCATTTTTAATTTTTTGAGGAAATACCATATTGTTTTCCACAGTGGCTGCACCAGCCTGCATTCCCACCAGCAGTGTGCTGGGGTTCCCTTTTCTCTACATCCCTCCAGCACTTGTTGTTTGTTGATTTATAAATGGTTATTTTGCTCAGTTTTAATTGGGTTGCTTGTTTCCTAATTGCTGCATTTTGAGAGTTGTTTATACTGGATACAA